GGTCGGTCCTTCGCGCCTAATTTGCCTACTGGCCGCGAAGATAGCGTCGGTTTTCCCTCATTAGTTCGACCACCCCTAAGCTGATAACGATTGGTCAGTCAACTAGCGTCGCTTGTCTATCTTCTTCTATCTACCGCTCGTTGGTCTTACCGATTCCCCTCGCTCGCTTCCGATCGGTCTAGCATCGGCGGTCTCGCTCGCTCTCACGCGCTCGGTCGCTCCTACCTTTAGTCTAGCTAGGCCTGCCTTAACTAACGGGGGCTTGCGATCAGCTGATCGCGACTGAAAACTTTAGGGGCTTCTAGCTCCCCGGGGGAGGGTCGGATCGGGTCGTGAGTGCGCGAGGGGTTGTACGCGAGCGTAAGGGTCGTGCGAATCGGTCAGGGAGGTTTCTAGAGGTCGTAGTTCGCGAGATCCGGGAGTGCGTGGGCGGGTGTATGTAGTCGTGGCTGTTCTGTCATAGTGCCGGTAATATATATTTGTGTGTGATGACGCATCATCACAAACCTAACCATTCCAACTCGTTCCAAGAATAGCAGCCAAAAGTTATGCCACTGTCGCAGAAACAAACGCCTTTTCCAAGAGAGAAAAAGCAATTGCTATTGAAAGCAAAGATGATTTAAAACTACGAGATTACATTCTTACAATAGGTAAGATTGTTTCTCCGATCAATGTTAAATTCGCATCTCGAATATCAAATGGAAAAATCTGCATTTCTTTTAACATCAAAAGAAGTAGTAGACAAATTTATAAAAAAATACAAAAGATAAAGTAGGACATCATGTACTTGAACCCTGATTATTAATAACTAGACATGAACGACTAATTATTTTAAACGCTTGCTCCTCGACTCAACACTCAAGTTGCGAAGAATACATAGATAGATATACTAAATCAAGAATATGAACATGTAAAAAGTACCAAAAGGCAGGTATATGTACATCTTGAAGATTTTGAAATAATTTCAAACTCCTTTCAAATTACACTCAAGGAAACAAATTTTTGGATATATCTAGACTCAGATACACTCAAATGTATTGTTTTTCAACAAGAAGGACATCTTGCAATGAACTGTACTATACAGTCGATGAATACCAGCAAGCTATTCGAAAATGAAAATGTTAACGAAACATCATAATAAATAACAAATAAAACAACTGTACAAAACGAAATGGAAATTTTAAACTTAAGCCAAGGTAAATTAAAAGTAAAAGCACACAGCTTAAAAGAACTCGATTTGAAACTACAGAATCTTCAAATACATCTGTAAGCAATCTTTCGCTATCTAAAGATGGAAGTAACAATAAAGACACAATAATAAATAAAAACCCCTCGCAATCTAAATCAAAATAGAAAAAAACATTTGATAAATGCAATAAATCACTTGATGAACTGCTTGAACCTTTAAAAAATATCTTAAATGAACCCGGTAAGTTATTAAATTTCACACAGCTAAAAAGTTTACTTGAAAGTACACAAGGAGTAGCTAAACTACTTTATATTAAACAAAATTACTATTCCAATGTAAATGACCTAATTAAGCTCATGAAAGAATTATACCCCTTATTATTACATAAAAAGCCGATTTATTCAGTGATGAAAAACCAAACATACTTTGTATACAAGAAACAAACCTTAAAAATACATCAATAACATCTATTAAAGGATATGAAGAAATTTATAAAAATAGTCTTAACTGCAACGAGGCATCAAATATTAAACCTACACCGACACTATTAACTCCAAAAAGATTTACATGTTTAACGTTAATATACTAAATAGTTTTGATCTAAGCATGAATAAACTGAACAATTTAATAAATCAATTTCCTAAACCTTAGATTCTATTATGTGATTTCAACAGTCATAACTATTTTTAGGGTTTTTAAAAATTAGATGCGAGAGGAAAATTTATCAAAACAATAATACTCAAAAATGACGTAATCCTACTAAACACTAAATTCGCTACCCATTTTAATGCCTCAAATGGTACTTTTAGCGCCATTGACCTTGCTTTTTGCAATTCGATTATTGAAGATCATTAACCCTTTTCCTCCCAAACAACACAAATTTTTTCTTAACTTTCATCCTCATATCTTTTAATGAAAAAATCGTATGAAAAATTTATCAAGCATCACATCTTGTAGATTTTGACCTCCTCTTTCGAATGCCGTCGACAAAATTTACCTAAATTGTAAGCTGGAAACGTTATAGGCCGGTTTTCTGGAAAATTCATAAATTTTTTGCGTTTTTTTTTTCTAAAAAAAGTATATTTTGAAATGGAAAAAGTTTGCACACACCATTGGAAACACTGTTATCGGTGTTATAGATGTCTTTTCTTTCAAATGCCGTTGGATTTTTTCCGAAATTCAAAATGGCGAACACTAAATGGCGTTCGAAAGGAAAAATTTTTTTTTTAAACTTGACGAACTTTTTTCTCCAAAACTATCAAGTTTAGTGAAAAATTTCTAAGAACAAAAATGTCTTAAAATTAGTCAAGAAATACTCTCAAACGTTTCAGATTTTTTTACAGCAAATTTGGAAATTTCGATTTTCCGATTTTCTACGAATTCGAAAATTAACTCTCTCGCCTAAAGTCCTATCGCGTCGCGATCAGGAAAATCGACTTTTAGCGAGGGTAGCAAAAAAAAATAATTGTTAGACTTGAAGTTTTTTTAAATTTTGTGAAACCAATTTGAAAAAAATGTATACTAGGAATAAAATTGATTAATTTTTTACTTAAAAACTATTGACTCAATAAAAAAATTCATAATAACAAAAGAGTCTTAAAATTTACCAAGGAGTACTCTTAATTTTTTTCAGAATTTTCCGAGTTAATTTTCGCATTCGTGGAAAATCGGAAAATCGAAATTTCCAAATTCGCTGTAAAAAAATCTGAAAAAATTTGAGAGTATTTCTTGACTAATTTTAAGACATTATTGTTCTTAGAAATTTTTCACTAAACTTGATAGTTTTGAAGAAAAAAATTCGTCAAGTTTAAAAAAAAAATTTTTCCTTTCGAACGCCATTTTGTGTTCGCCATTTTGAATTTCGGAAAAAATCCAACGGCATTTGAAAGAAAAGACATCTATAATACCGATAACAGTGTTTCCAATGGTGTGTGCAAAGTTTTTCCATTTCAAAATATACTTTTTTTAGAAAAAAAAAACGCAAAAAATTTGTGAATTTTCCAGAAAACCGGCCTATAACGTTTCCGGCTTACAATTTAGGTAAATTTTGTCGACGGCATTCGAAAGAGGAGGTCAAAATCTACAAGATGTGATGCTTGATAAATTTTTCATACGATTTTTTCATTAAAAGATATGAGGATGAAAGTTAAGAAAAAATTTGTGTTATTTGGGAGCAAAAGGGTTAACCTAGTCAGTATAGCATGATCTATGCGACAGTTATCACTATGGAATAATCATCACGATCAACGACGAAAATAATGAAATTCCAATTTCAATACCCAGATGGAAATTTAAAAAAGCCAATTAAGATGAATTCCATTAGAATCTAAACGAAAATATTGACTTACTAAAAAATTTGAAACAAGTGACAGAAAAAGACATCGATACTATTGTAGACGAATTTGTTACTCAATTTCAAAAATCAGCAAACTTATTAATTCCAAAAACATCAGGCAAATACGACAAAAATACGTTCCATAGTGGTCAGACGAATGCGAAACAACTGTCAGAAAAAAAATGCTTTTAATAAATATAAAAAACGACCAATTGAAGATGAACCATAAAAAGGCAAAAAAAGATTTCTTGAGACAGTGTCTCTAGCTTAAAAGAAAACACACCGTCTGATTTAATATAAAAAAATAAAACTTTCCAATAGAAATAAAAAAAGTAAATTTCAATTAAATGTAATCACCAGTACACAAAATATATTCATCACAACTTCTAAAGAAATAGCAAATTTCGTAGCAATAACTTTTACATAATTTTTAAGCCACGAAAAATTTGAAAGTAAATTTCTTGATTAAAAAAATTATATTAAAGAAACAGAAATCAACCTTACTGATTACTATTACGAAATAAATCTATTAGAGTTGAAATCTATGGTAGCTTGAAGCTACCATAATACCTATTCCCAAACCAGCAAAAAACAAAGCGAGCACTAGTAGCCATAGGCTTATAGTTTTGATTAAATGCCTCTATAAAAACAAGAGACTCCAGTGGTTGTTGAAAAAAAACAACTTAATATCAGATAGTCAACATGGATATAAACAATTTCGATCTGTCTACTGTCTACCACAAGACTGTCTACTTACTCTAGAAACAAATATATGTAAAGCTTTCATCAAACATTAACATTTATTAGTAGTTTTTCTAAACATAGAAAAGGCATATGACATGATCCGGAGACGGCAAATAATAGAAATCTTTCTTAAATTAGAAATCAAAAGTAAAATGCTAAACTTTATTTCAAATTTCTCAAGCCATAGATATATTAGAGTGCGAGCCAATGAAAAATTATCTGACATTTTCTACTAAGTATAACGCTATTCGTAGCCACCATTAATGAAATTATAAAAAGTATACTAGCACCAGTAAATAACTATAAGATTCATGCTTGATCTAATGTAGTCAACCAATGTAAATATAACATGTAAAATGTAACTGTGATCGCTAATAACCAAGTGGTGAATGTGACCTAAAATATTCAAATAAAAAAAGCTTCCAACAATTATAGTTTGAATATATTTTAATCGTAAACACTGATTTATACATAACAATAAACCTTCTATAAATTTTGATAATAAAGAATTATTTTTATTTAATTAAATTCAGTAGTTTATAAATATGCAAATTAAATAGAAAGTGTTAATTTCTTTTAAATTTAACCTCTATACTATGAATGTATAAATGCAAACTATACAATCAGTATTACTGAAAAAACTATTAGATTAATCCAATTATTCTAACGATTTCATTTCTTCCGAATTTTAATTACTAATTAAAAACATATAAGTATGTTTTTTATTTACAGAATTACTGGATAAGTAGACGCTTAATTCAAGATTCTGAAATGACTCCAAGTGGTCAACATGGTTTATATCAGCATGATGTACTCCAACCTTCAAGTAAAGCCGGCGTTGTTATCACTAGCTTTCGTCAAAGTCATAGAAGGTTTGTTTATGGTTCTACTAAAGTAATAGAAAAAGTTCTGATATCGTTTTTATATAAAATTTATTGTGTGATAAAGATGTAATTGTAAATGGTTTCCTGCATGAAATAAATTTGTATTTTACTATGTCCTTTTTTAAAAAAACTACTCCTGATATAGTTTTACTCAGTAATATTACCTTCATCTTAAGAATAGACTCAAGTAAAAACTAAAGTTAAAAAAACAATTTGATTATTATTTCATTTACAATAGAACTTTTATTAAATTCAAAAGATATAGTGTTGAAGCTATATATTGTTCTATAATATTTATTAAATATATTTTCAAGAATAATGTTAGTTGAGTAAAAAAATAACGAGCTACTTTGATAAGTTTACTATTAAAATTTGACCGATTGAGTCACAGTAAAACAGCACTCATACTAAATGTATACAACATTTATATATACTTTCTAAATGGCTGTTTTGTTCATAACTTGACATTTAAATCTATTTCGGCAATTGGATTGATGATATTCGACAGAGGTATAATAAGAGATGAATGAAGTAAAATTGATATTCAAAGATTATTTAAATTAACACATTTTTAAAGTACACGATTAATTGTATTGTTTTCGCAACACATTACTAATAATTACTTACGCGGAATAAAGATTTTCAGAGCTTACGGTTATACAATTTATCTATTTTTGTTAATAATTGTTTCAACTATTGCAATGAAAAAAGATCAAAAATGTATAACACAAGACTTTCTGTGTAGTACAAAAATATATAAAGGATCCATGGAAAAAGAAGGCTCACTATATAAAAGGTTTTTTTTTTTGGTTATTTAAAAAATTACTATTCTATAAGTTGATTTCACTGCTTCAAATATCCAATTCTAAAAATATTCTTTACTAAATGCATAGCAGTTTCCTATTAGATGTAATAGATTTAACATAATTTATTATCCTTAAAAAACCATAACGTCGTAGATTAAAAAATTAATATGCCTCCTTTTTTTCTTAAAGCTTTTATATATAATTAAAAAAGAATCTTTTGCCGAGTATATATTAAGTGATGAGGTGTAAACGGGATTGAAAAATTATCATTATTACTATATTTTACGTAGTTTTTGGAATTTTTAATAATGATGATAAATTTTAATTTTTGCGATCCTCGAATCGTTTGAGTTATATTTTTCTTGAATAAGTGAGCGATAGGAAATTTTTCGAATAGGTTAAAAATAGAAAAAATTTATTCAACTTTTTTTTAAATAAAATTTTGTTCCTTCTTTTTGTTTTGGATCTGAATCAAACAAATCAAAGTTTTGGATCTGAATCGATTTGGTAAGTATCTAGGTTTGCATTTATATTAACTTCTATAATCTATAATTATCATAACTGTTAATCTATAGTTAACAAAATTTAACCCATTAACGCCCAAACGAGATGAATTGTTAAGTTTTCAACGGGTTTCTTTTGTATGTTATTAGACTAAAGATGTTCTTTAACCAATTTTACGAGATACTTATTCTTAGGTAATTTTTTCTGAACTCAATAGATTCCGAAAATGAAATAGCTAGTGTTTTTACAGAATTTTCAAGGTCTGGCCGTCATAAAGTAAAAAGGAGTGATACAATATTTATATAAAAATTTACTGTTAATTATCAATTATTGTAATCACCCCTAATTATCATTGAAGCATGGATTCCATCCGTTAACATACCAAAAAAAAGCCAAAAGTACGTTGTTTTCGAAAATTTTCACGTTTTTCATGATTAAATAGGTCATATCTCTTTTTCCTTGGTATTTGATCCAAATTTCGTATTCAAATACTGAAAGAATAACAAATTTTACGTCGGAATGGCAGTGTTGCAAATTTCTTTAGACTAATAATATGCAAAATAAATCCGTTGAAAATATATTAACAATTCATGTCGTTTAGGCGTTAATGGGTTAATTAACTTTTTTGATAGTTAAATTGCATGATTGGTGTAACTGGCTAGATTTTTTTTAATTACTATTAATTAAATTTTTTAATTAATTATATATATATATATATAATTAGGAATGATAAATTATTAGCTTGTGGTTAATTTGGCTGTTTTGCAATATTTACGTAAATTACAATAAATTTATCACCAAAATGCAAATAGATCGTGTGATAGTAAGTAGTCATTATTTCATGGATAGAAAATATGTTTGGTTTTATTGTAATTCCGAGAAGGTATTCTTTTTGAATCTATTTTTAAGAATTTTGTTCTTTTTTTTAGCTTAACTACTTTCAAAAAAAGATTGTTAAATACATTTTCATATTTCTTTTATGTAGATGCTAGATTTTATTTTGAATGACATTATATTAATCACGCATTCTACCATAAAACAAATTATTTTGATTTCGGTTTTGTGAATTAAACAACAATGTTTGACGTAATATAGTAAGAGGAGTTATATTAGGAAAGCTTAAACAATTAGGAGTTCAGGGAGAATGATACATATAATTTAAGAAATTTATCGACGATGGATGAAATCATGAATAACATTATACATGGAAAAGAAGAGAAAAGCTGTATGTCTTCTTACCTTGATCGAAAATTCCAGTTTCCTTCTGGCATACCTGAAAGTTGACGTTTTCCATTCACTCTGCGCGCCATATAGTCAGCCGGAGATGTCTTCTTTTTGTTATCTCAGTTTTATTTGTATACCTATATACAACACCATCATTCAACCTTATAGCATCTATATAGCTGGAGTATACTCGTCATTTCATAATGCACAATTTGTGCATATATTACATATTTCACAAATTATCTGGTGCCATATACATTATTCATTTAGAAACATTTTTTTTATCATACACACGAATAAAAGTTAAATATAATAATTGCATTCCAACTATAACAAATGGTATTATTAAAAAGCACGTATTAAAATTTGAAGGTTTGATACAATAAAATAATAATCGCTTGTAGATGTATATTGGCTTTGGCTCTGTTAAATAAAATAATAATACAATAAAAAATACGAAGAAATTTTATTTTTATATAATTAGACAAACGTAAAATATGATAAATATTCTATTTGATACAAATATAATCTCTCTTGTGCATGAGCTGTTGGATTCTGTTAACCAACAGCCCTAGTAAATTTTTGTATTAAATTCCTAGATAACACCAACGAGTACTGAGAAAAAAGAACCGAAAGCGAAATAGTCAGGTATAAAAAAGATTTTCGGCTTAAATTTTGCTGATCCCGTGGATATAGTTGCTTATATTCCAAAGTAACTACAAAATCTTTAAAAAGAAATGAAAAGGTATAGCACATAAAATTAAATTAAGATAAATAAAATGAAAAATCAAGGTGATAGTATGAAACAATATTGGAAAATGAAATAAGAAAAAACGAGAAGTGGATTTACTAAGAAATAATGTTGATAAATAGTCAATATAAATATTTAAGATACTGGTTTTATTTACGTGGTAACACATTTATATTTATTTATGTCAAGAAAATGACAAGCTAGAAAAATAATAAAGATGAAGAATTGATTCGAGAAAGAGAAACTGAAAAATAGAAGCAAAAAAATGGCAAGCTACATTCTGCAAATTTACAAAATGAAATAATACACAATTCGCTATCGAGATTGTGAGAAACTTTAAAAAAAATATACCATGATGTAGTAAAAAATCGAATAAATGGTTCAGCTTATAGAGGCAGAGTGCAAAAGAGGAATGTGTAAGATTAGAATACGGTAATGTATGCGAGAAGAGAATGAAAGGTTTTAACAATAAACAATAACTTCTGCAGAGTGCAAGAAAGAAGAGATTACGTAAAAACGAGAGAAATTATGTTTGGGAGATAGCTAGAGAAAATTCAAGAGTGGAAGGATGAACTACCAGCTGTAGAATGAGAAAAGAAATACTACGAACTCTAGATGGTAACTCTAGATGATAACGGTAGCCTCTCCAGATACGCTAAAGCTTTAAAGATCTAGCAAGGACAGTAAAGAACGCCAAAGGAGAAAATAATTAATAGGGAATGTATTCAAGATTGAAAAATTATTTATCTCATAGAAAATTTCATGCTAACATAGTATAAGTAACAAGAGTACGATCATCTAAAGGCTTAAAATGATTCAAGGTTATCACGATTACACTCTTATTATAACGAAAAGTGTACGGGGTTATCTGATATAAGTGATGGAGAAACATTAAAGCTTTTACCTGTGTGTCTCATATTATTATTATATTAAATAATAATAATAATATTACAAATTATTTCAATAGATAATTTTTTTAGATAATTCATTCAAATGAGGAATTAAAAAAGAGACGGAATTTACATAAAAAATTGATGGTCTTCATGATACACAATGAATTGTTTTATTATTATATTAATCTATATCTGGTATCGATGCCAATCGCTGAATAGAAGACACTATAAGATTAAAATTAAATTTAAGTAAAACACAACAGTTAAAAAGTATTTTATTTTAAATAAATCTTTTTTAAAATTAATTTTTCAAATATTTTTCAAAATATTAATAAAAAAGTTTTTTTAATTAATTAAACTAATAATTAATTATTTTAAAATTGTAATAATTAGTAATAATTAATTACTTACTATTTAATAATAATTAATTTTTAATAATAATTGATTATTAATGTGTTAATTAATTATTCTGTTATTACTATTTCAGTTCATTTAAGAAATATTTTTCCCTAATATTTATATTTATATTTAAATAAATATTTTCTAAAAAAAGTTTTTCTGAAAATATTTATTGAAAAACTTTTGTCGCATTAATAGCCGTGATAATAGTTGTGAGAAAAAATAAGATATATTTTAAAATGTTTTAAATATTTTTCAATTATATAATCACCATAAAATTAATAGCCGACGTACATTTACTCATAAAGAAATATTAAAAATATTCTATTTATATTACATAAAATAATATGTAATAATATCTAAGATAATAATCTAGTAATAATCTTTGTTGATTTTCAACGAGATAAAAGTTTTTTCTACTATCACAATCCCATAAACTAGCAAATTAAAATTCTTCTCTTTTTTATTATTAATACATAGTAACAAGGTACATTATCACTAATGTACCTTTATACATTAATTAAAGGTTAATTATTCAAATTATTCCTTTAAATTACAGTAAAAATGTTTTGTCATTATAAAAAAATTTCATTCTCAAATCTAGAATTTTAAGCAAATACCTAAATTTAAAACAACGATTAAAATGAACGACAAGATTTAGTATTATTTTTTTAAAAGATATTCAATGATTATTTTATAGTTACTTAAGTTTAGTTGCTGCAATCTTTTATAATAGCATATATATTTTTATCGTTCTCACTTGATATTTCAATGACAAAATATCGAAATTAAAATGTTTGTTTTCCTATGATCTTAATTATTTTTATTTTGTTTTTTATTTAAGCATTTAGTACCTCATTATGAGGTTATTTTGCTATAATTAGTGCAAGAAATTTTGATACATAAAAAGAAATAAAAAACGGATTACAATACATTATGTTGGATTACATTGTCGTTCGAAATTCATACCTAAATTAAATTTACAATTAAAGAAGAAGTTATACATGCTGGTACAAACTTCATATGTTGAGCTACTCATAGGACGAAACATTTTTTGTTTTCGTAGATCTATAAATTTTGAACGCTGTTGATTGTACATTGGACATTGCCAAAGAATGTGATCAAGGTCTTGCATTTCGTATCCGCATTCGCTGTCGCTACATTTATTGTGATAGATACGAGATAGTGAGTATGCTTGGTTATAATATCCAGATCTATATCGGTTGATAGTTATAATGGGCCGGGAAAGATGAACATATACAAACCAGGGCTTGCCTTTCTCGTTATGGAAATATTTAAAATAGTTTATACCTTTATTAAAACCCTCAGTGCAGTTCACGAGTATCGACTATAGATTATTTCTTAAGGCGCTGTTTTAAATCAGTGTATAATAATTTGGCGAAGTTATAGGGAGCGTTCCTGGAAACGTCCTTAGCTACAGTGTCAGCTCTTTCGTTGCCGATTATTCCAGTATGTAAACGTATTCAAAAGAGTTTGAGTAGGGAGCTGTTTGGGTTTTTTTGCTTGAAATAAAAAATTAATTTACGTATTTTTAGAATATAAGGGTTTGTTTTGATACTGAAACTGGCCTTAACACGCTATAACGTTAATCGCTAGAAATACGTTGGTAATTTTGATACCTGCTATCTCTACTGCAATATCAGGGGATTGTAGGTGCGTTAGTTCTAAATATGTAAGGTTGTTTCGAATGAGCATTAGGATTCCACCGCCGTTTTTGTGCGAATGATCTTTTCTAAAGGTCTTGAAGCCGGGGAAATAAAAAGGTCTTTTGTTTTGCTCTTGTAGACAGCTTTCAATGCAGATCAGGATAACCAAGTCGGTGAGTACTTTAGGCAAATATTCTTTTCTTTTTGATACACTTTTGCAGTTCCAAAAACAATTTTTAGGTTTTTTTTTCATTTGTGCTGGCCATTCTAAATTTTGGAGGAGTTGGATAGAGAGAGCATTTCACTGTCTCTAGACCTACTTTTTTCAACTTCAAGAAGTTTCTTTTTTATCCTTGTAAATCTGTTTTTAAAATTTTTATCAGTCAAATGTTGGTACAAGTCTTCAATCATTGTAACAAGTTTGAAAGGCTCTTGGGTATAATCGAAAGTTATTTCTGCAATGTTCGTTTGACCGAAGCTTTTTTATACTAACGATTTAAAGGGTTCATAATCCAGTGCATATTTTTCTTGATTTAGCTCAACTATTTCTTTCAAAGGCAGCATATTTTCGCGTAGTTTATTGAGTTTCTTTATTTTATTTTCTTCTCCTATTTCATTAGGTCTATCTGAGGCCAGCCTGGCTTTCTTTGTTGCAGTTTTCAGACTTTTATGGAGTTTTTTATTCTTGAATAAATTCGAACGGAGTATTGGCAGAACAAGTTGACGAGGGCGGTGAACGCTTATTATGTGTTGGTATGTTAACAGTAGGATTAATCAGCTGTTTAAGCGGCAATTCTCTGACCGACTCAATCAAATTGTCGTCAGGTGTGTTAGCGACAGGAGTGGTTTCACCACATGAAGGTTCAATACTGTTGTTCATTGGCATTGCATGAGCTGGTTCGTCTATATTTTCGGCAAGTATGTTGGTCATAGAGTTATCTTGATCCTGTATTAATGTGTTTTTGTTGTTATTGGTCGAGTTCATGGACACTTTGCCGGATGTCCCTTTTGTTGACTTAGATATATCCAGTAAGAGGTGTTATCGTGCTGGATTTAGAGCGATTCGGGCAATAGGCTTTCGTCTTCTTCTTTTATATAAACATGACGCCGAAATGATAGGATATGCGACCTTCCGAGTTTGTTTAGGCCTGAACGTATGTAGTACATATTGGAGACCGTGTTTATTCTTTTGTTTTTAAGAGCATTTATCAATAACTTATTTAGTATTACTCATTTAGTATTGGAGAGAACAGCTCTATTGTTTTTTTCCATTAAAGATCTGATTTTTAGTTTATATTCTTTGATTTCAACGATGTGGTTCACAAGTGAGTTAATTGTTGCTTCGTTGGACAGGAAGACACGCACTCTGCCTCCTGATATTTTGGAAATGAATAGGATGTTTCTAGAATCAATAATTTTTTCTAGACCATCGATGTAGTCATCGATTGTGAGACCTTCAACTGTTTCAATAACAATAGTTTGATTCTTGTTTGAGAGTGGTAGGTTGCAATTACTGTAGCGTACGAGTTCTGAGATGCATGCTGTTTTTTTCGGTTAACTTGACTGGTAGGATCTCCACTAGTAGAGGTCATGGTTACGGATCTGAAATGCTACACAAACTACAGCAACATTTTGAAAACCAGATCGCCAACAACACAGACACTACACAAGATACTAGCACTAGCTCTGACGGGGATCAGAGTTTCGATTTGCGCTTTATGTACAGCGACGACGGAACATGTCTACTCGGAACAACATTTCGTACTATACTGATCTTAATTATTCAATCATAATTATTTAATGTTCTATGCTCTTATTTATTTGAGGATTGCTATTTTTAGAACTCTTTTCATATTTTCAAGTATTGAGTATATAATGCCGTAATAGAAATTTTTATACAAAATTTTAAGATATTGAATCACAATAAATAATGAAACTTTAGCGATATCTCGTGGTAGTACATTTATGTCAAAAATCAGTTTATTTTGTTATTGACAATCTAATTCAATTTATTATACATTATCAGCATGTTAAAATATATTTCAATTTTTAAAGAATAGTTATTGATGCGTCATTGATACAAGTAATAATATATCAGTTACAACAGAAAATAAATTTTTTGATCTGTATTAGATGAAGTATAGATAAGAAGATTGATGAGGAAAGAAGCATAAAAGTATTTTTTTATTTTTTCAGGAGTAGTACATCAACAGCAGCAACAGCTTTTGCCATTGCTACATCTGCTTCAAGTAATCCTCCAGACAGAGTACCTGGTCAATACGAAGATAACCATAAAGGTATTTATCGTGATAAAAATCGACGAAAAGAATCAGTTATATCAACAGCAGCAACTATGCGTGTCTTGAATGTATTACGACACTGGGTATCCAAACATGCGCAAGACTTTGAATTAGATTATAAATTGAAAAATTTGACAGTCGAGTTTCTTGAAGATATAATTTACAGCCCAAATTTGTTACCAGCAGAACATAAAGCTGCAAGTCAGCTTTTAAGATTAATAACAAAAGAGGAAGTTGATATTAATAAAGTTGAATTAACAAAGCTCTTAACACCATCTACGGTAAAGTATACAAAAAATTAAATTATTAAAAAGTGGTTTTTCTATAATAAATAAAATTCGGATAAAAACATTTTATTTTAGTTATTTTTGAATAACTACCTATTATGAAATGAAATATGTAGACCAGATTTTGCTTTGTATACATAAATGCAACATTCTTAGTAGCCTTTCATAATAGAATCTTAGCAAAGAGTGCGTTATTATTAGAAGAAATTTAAAATAATTATAATGTTTTTTGAAGTCCGAAAGATAGTAAATTAATTGTTTTTCATCGTTGAAAAATATATTTAAGAGATTTACATGGAAATAATATGTATACTATGATAAACTTTCAAATCAGCTTTAAAACGTAGTAAAATAGATAAACCTTATTTTGGGCTCAAGCTCGTATAGTATTATAAGGTCGAGCGAGAAATAAACAATCATTTTAATCGCTTTATTCTTTTTTATTTTTTAAACGTACTATTAATTAAAATGATTTTCTACTAAATTAATTTACGTTATTGAAATATTGTCATACTTAATTTTGTTTCGTAGTAATTTTACAGTGCATATTCTCAACTAATCTCGTACATATATTTTCAGATACCAAGCAAAGAAAGAATTGAAACATTATCAGCTCTCGAAGTAGCTGAGCAAATGACTTATTTAGATCATCAAATTTTTATATCCATTGCTAGCGAGTAAGTGGTGTTTATATTAATATATTGAAAATTATGTAGTATTGTTATTGATGACCTCCCTTTCCTGAATTTTGAACACCAATAAATAGAAATGAAGAGTTATAAATATTGTTACATTCAGTCGAGGTCTAAAGTTGTAAAACCGAATGATTATATTTTTAGTAATTTAAATCAAGACGAATATAATCTTTGCAAAACTTAACAATAAGCATAACTAATTATTTTATGGTAGTTAAAGTATAGAGTAAAAATAAAATAATTTTAAAAGTTTATTTCTAAATAGTTGCAAATTAAACTTTTTTTAATATGCATTGTACATACATCGAAATAAATATTATTTGATTAATAAAAAATTACAATTGTAGAGAATTTTTGGGTCAAGCTTGGATAAAGTGTGACAAAACTACAAGAGCTCCGCATATCACGCTTATGACTAAAAGATTCAATGAAATATCGCAACTAGTTGTTTCTGAAATTGTGCGCAGATCAAACATGCAAGCCCGTGTTTCTATCATAGAAAAATGGGCAGCAGTTGCTGATATAAGTAAAGTTCTTCATAATTATAATGGCGTATTACAGATCTGCGCTGCTTTTACTAACAGCAGTGTTTATCGACTCAAAAAAACTTGGGAAAAAGTATCTAAAACGGTAAGTTTTTAAGCTTTGTCAAATTAAATATTATTCACATATATTTATTCATTTTAATTACATTTTATTTGATTATAAATAAACAAAATTAATTTATTAATTTAAGCTTTATTACTGCTTTTAAAAACATTTTAAATAATATTTAATTGAAACAAATAAACAGAAAAGTTAAACTCAAATAACGCGTGTAAATTGTAAATGTTAATTAATACATTCAAGTCCACTCATTGAAAATAGAAATAAATTCTATTCTGAGTTATATATAAGTAAAATTACTAAAAAATAAAAACATATGAGTGGCTTTAATTCATTTTCAGATTTTAAACATTTAAATTGCATGAAAAATTTCGTAATATATTATTTTTATAACATAATAAATTATTTTTGCATTTCAGACTAAACAAACAATAGAAAGGTTACAAGCTATTGTTTCATCAGAACATAGATTTAGAAATTTAAGAGATGCATTGCATCGCTGTGATCCACCATGTATTCCATACCTTGGTTTATATCTGACAGATCTTTCATTTATAGAAGAAGGTACACCTAATTTTACGGATGATGGTCTACTCAACTTTTCTAAAATGAGAATGGTGAGCACTCAAGTTAATATTTCTATCAGTAAAAAACAATATTATGTTTGAAAATTCACACCAAAGTAAATTTTATCTGAACATAACAAAAACAATTTCAATCACAATACTTTTCTCGATGCATAGATTGCACATGTGATACGAGAAATTCGTCATTTTCAACAGACTCCTTATAAAATAGAACATAATCCTAGAGTTACAAACTATCTACTAGACCCTTCCATTTTACTTGATGAAGAAGATCTTTACAGGATGTCCTTGGAAATTGAGCCACGGACATCAAGACTGAGTAGTGCAGCCTTAATAGGCCTGCCATCAAATATAGGTGCAACTCTGAAAAAAGATAATTAAAGAAACGTCCAAGCAAAATGAGATAACACTGTATCAATTTTTTGTCGAAAATTTTTGAAAGATAAACACTGATTTAAAAAGTGAATAACTAACTTTTTCTTGTAAAAGTATTCAATATTTTCAATAATTGTAATAGTTGAATTAGATGGATACTGGACGCGATGTATTGTTTTAATAATTAATAACTATAAGCTCGTTATGATATGAAATTTATATTATAACGGAAATTGAAATTTCTGCAAAATGTTAATGATGAAATAAAAAATATAAAAATGTAAATGAAGTTAATTAATTATGAATTGATAAGAATTCAAGAATATTGAATACTTAAAAATTAAGCTTTGATCAATAAAACTTTGAGTACCAAATATTATGTTTCTAATTTAGTTTATAAAATGTTACTATTATTTATTATAAAGAGAAGCAAGCATTTAACATGATAACTATTATTAATGTCTACATACAAATACTGCTGGATAGTTTTAGTTTTAAGGTTTATTATTAGGTTCGAATAAATTCTTAATGATTAGATTAAAAAGATAGAGCTACTTTTTAGCTTAATATTCGTTTTTAACTTAATATTATGAAAGTGAATTGAAACTTCTAGTGATATGAATGTATATAGAATTTTGAAATTATCGATATTAAAACACGTACGATGAAAAGAACATTCAAACTGGAATAACGTTTGAATACTTTGTAAATGTATTCAAATGGTCTCATTTAAAATTAATTAAGGTGGGAAATTAAAAAAATTTCTTAGTATTACAATATTTTAATACAAGTACAGAAGTTGTATAAGATATTGCACAGGAATGTTTTATCAAAAAAATTAACATCTTTTCACATTTGTTTAAAACTACGTTTTCTGACAAATATGCCTTTTTACTCTTCAAATTATTAGAAATAAAGTTGTCTATTTGTTTGACTGGTTATAAAAAGATTAAATAACGATTTCAATTAACTTTGACACTTCGTACTATCAGAGCTCAAAATGTGATCTGGATAAAATACAAATGAATAACGCACATTTTAGTAAACTAAATACATTATATTAAGAAAAGACAATTGATTAGGAAAAGGAATATTTTTGAAGAAATGGTTAGCTGTAAGTGTATTAATATGTACAAACTTTTGTTAACAAATTATTGTATCCCTAACGTAATTATTATTTTATAAATATCATAAACTTGTAAAACATTTTCTTTGACACACTAAAAAGATTAATATCATTCTTGAAATCTGATTATTAACTAAAGTAATAATTATAGAAATAATATGAATAAGTTTATCTATTTGTTCTTAATAGCTGCACTATTAATCTCCTGGTTTCGCCTATCCAAAGACAAATTTTTGAAAATCTAGAATTGTATATTTTTTTCAAAGAGCATCTCATAATTCAGCGTGGATACATTTGGTAGATATTTTGAAAAAAATTATAATTTTACAATGTTACAATGACATATTTACAATGTACCTAAAAAGATTGATGTCACATTTTATATATACAAGAGAGCTCCTTTATATATATACAAGATAGCTTCTATGTAAAAAATCATAATTCTTTGTTCCAATTTGATAAAAGAGTAACATAAATATGTACAGTATGATTGTGTTATTTATAATATCAATTTAATATTTCTTTTAATTAAAAGCATGTGCTTTTCTAGTTGTTGTATTTTTAATTATAATTAGCAATATAAATTAGTAATTTTAAGTAGATGCACATATTCGTATAAGTGATGCCCTTTTTTCAAATTAATATTTTTTAATAAAGTGATTGAAAATCCGTATCGAAGTGCTAAAATACTATTAGTATAATTGTCTAACTCGAAAATAATATTGCTATAATTGTTTACTAAAACTGTACAGAAATTACGTTATAGTAAAATTTTACAGTATTTACAATTTTCTGTTTTAAACAAAAGAAACTATTTACCGTAAATTTCAATTCATTGAATTCATTAAATTTCATCGACAACCAAATTATGGCTAGCATATTTTTGCGGAGTCACTCTCTATTTAATTTAATCACGATATGATAAATGTGAAAAATTATCAGCAAGCTTTTTAAAAATGCTATTCAATGCGTCCGTTGTTATCTATAAGAAGGCCTTGAGTGAATTAGAGATTTTTGAATGTAAACTTCATTTTATTTAACTTTGGAAGATCGAATCCCATTGGGTGATATTGTGTAGAAAAAGTAGATCACTATATTTTTCTTTGTGTGAAAAGTTATTATAAAATAAATAAAAGCAACATATTATTGAAATTACCATTAATCCTATTGTGAAACTCATGGGCGAGAATTTTCTAGATTGAACTGGATAGTATTATCAAAATATTTGTGAATAATATGCATAACAAAGTTGCATAAAAAAGACTGAAGTATAATAATTAAAATTTATTGTTGTAACTGTGTATATAAATATTTATTTCACAAATCAAATTGAATAATTCCTTTATGTAGATTTAACATTTTATAATTGTTATGTGGAAGTAAATTTTATCCAATCTGTTGCAAAATAATAATATTCGTTGGAATTATATATGACTATTAGTATTAATGTGTTTACAAAATATTTGTTTTTTTATTAATACAATTGGTACAACTATAGTATTTTATTAGCGCACATAAATTCTAACGTATGTCGGGATTTTGAACGAAAACTATGTGAGATGGAATAGCAAGTTGACAATTTTTATTTCATTTGTTTTTGAAACCATATCTTTGCAACAGTAGTACCATGCGTCTAAGAGTTACAATATAAAATCTAGTCTACAAATAATGATATTTTTTAATTGATATTCCATTTTCCGTAATACATATGTACTAATGATAAAATATATAGATTTCGTTTAAATCAGAAAAATTATGTAAATTAAGAAAATAGATATTCTTAAATTAATTTATATTGATCATAATTATCAAAAAAGAGTGTATGTGACAATCAATCGCTTAAACAATCATAAGAATAATTAAGCATCTATTTTTTTAATTATACGATTGAATAAACAAAAAAGTTATTAAAAAAATTGTATTGTTTGATTTTTCAAAGTCAGTCTTATATAGAATGAGATAAAGAAAAAACTAAAATTTTCAAGAATATACTTACCTTAGAATATAAATAAAACAGAATAAAATTTGATGAAATAGCAAAAGGATACTTACGAACTTTTTTATATACTATGAGACTAAATAATTTATATAGATTTTTGTTATATGACCGATGTTTGAAATATGAAAATTTTAATTAATTGTTAATAATAAAATATAAGATATTTCAAAATATATTTATTCATAATGAAATATGCCATTTAATGCATTTGAAAGATAAAGTAGTTCCTCATAAAAAACAACTGCAGATGACGTTATGAGAAGATAATGACGTTAGTTATTTCTAATTATAGAATGTTTTATTCACAGATTATTTAATTGTTAATCATGAACTCATAACTATTTAATTCGTTGCAATAACAAACGTTAAAACTACGTAACTTGTTTCTATTTCATTGTTCACGTGCCGTATTGGATCACGACGAAAGTTCATTGTTTATACAATTTGAAATATTAATTTAATATTATTGACAGATGAATACTAGTTATTTTACGCATTTGTGAAATGTTTTATTTAATATGAAAATCAAATATAAAAATAAACTAGACTAATCTTTTTATTTCACAAATCATCAAATGATTGTGAATTATAGGTTTAAGCATGCCAGATCAATAGTTAATCATATTGACTGCATTTACTGCAAATATTTTTAAATATTTGTAAAAGAATCGAGAGCGAAAATTCATTCAATTTTACAATTTTAAAAACTAAATTCAACTAAAAAACGCTGCCAGCTGCTCTGGCGGAACGCTTCCTTGGAGATAGAAGACAGTATTTTCTTATCTATATCTATCTAATAAAAATTGTTCATTTATGTAACTATAAGAATAAAAAGCTAATAAAAAATTGAAAATTTCAAAACATGTAGAAAACTTATTTGATCTAATTGCATTACCGCGTGTAATTCCTCTAAGATTTGGTAAAATTATTTTCTGTACGTATATGGTAGTTACACATAAAACTATTCATAATTCTTCATACCGCTGATTCAACAGCTTATTGTAACAGTATCGATGTCGTCTTATAATTATTCAACTTCGCGAATAACTCTTAATAGTTTTCTCATAAATTTTGATCAACGATGTATAAAAAAATTCTTTATAAATTATCTAAATCTATCAGAAAAATCAACAGTACAAACAAAACACAAATAAAAATATATTCAAAAAAATAAAATCTTTTTTCTAATAGTACTGTATAGGATCTACTGTTTTTGCAAACTTAGAAAAAAGAGCCGCGTTGGTTTGAAATGCGATATCTTAAGCTAAATATCATCGAATAATTATAAGACCGCTCACTTAAAAGCTGCATTATATATTTCTCATTATAAGCTTAAGAAAAACTCCGTCACCAGTTAAGAAAATTGTTTTTAATTAAATTTACAGCACATAACATATAGTAGTTTGATATGAACCATCTACCTTACTTTATTTTTATTTAACAGCAATAAAAATTTTCGAACATGTAAAACTTCTTGGTAACAATTTGCTTGTCTCCATTCTAAAAATGTCTAAATATATGAATAAATATTTATCAATAGAAAAGGCATATCGATTGACACAATACGCATACACATACACACGGATAAAAGTTATAAAAATATGACTTTGTCTTCCTATGATTTCTAATAGAAAATTTACGGATAAAACTGGTCTAATTACATGTAGGAGGTTTTTGTCTAACAAAAAGTCTAAAATACAAGTATATCATAACGAATATAGAAAAAGATAGTGAAAGATAAAAATTAACAAAATAAAGCGAAAATAAAACTTCAAGAAAGAAATAGAATGAACGCTAATTGAAGATAAAATGAATCAGTAACTTAAGTAATCTTTTATTAATGCGTTAGCTAATTATGCCTTTTGGCTATTTCGGCACATTTTTGGAGGCGTACAAATATTATTTAAAACGAATAAGGTTTCATAAATACTCATTTAAGTAAAAAAAGAATTTTATCGAATTTGATTTTTATTTATTATTCCAGAAATAAATTAATTTTATTTATCCCTTCTGACGTATGTTGTATGAAATGTATGTTAAAATATCGTTGTTCTTTTAAAAATTTGAATATACCACATGTATATTATAAAAAATGACATTTTTTAATAACCTATCAACTATCGAATTAAAAGCTGGTACATGAATTTACGTAGACAAAA